TGACTAAATTCCATGCAAAGCGACAGCGTGGTTCGTCTAAATTTCTCAGCACACTTAGAAGATGCATATTTTACTCGTGTTGTTTCCTTATAATAATGCGATGTATATTTTGTGACTGAACTACGAATAAATGGCCATGAAAACGTGCATACAAATCCAAAAATAAGTCGTTCGAATTACACCTTATTGAGGCTCTTGTCCGACTGTTTTCTGTGTCTCTCACACAAGGTCCCCTGAGTAGGTGGTGAAATTTTCAGAATAGACACGAGTCAGGCATCATGAGTCATAATCGCGAATGAAACAGAGTAGAAAACAGTATGTGATGTCAGGGGAAGAGTGTAGTGGACTAGCACAAAGTTATGTCCATGCTCCACTTTTATCTACTCTGTATTATCTCCTTCACCAAGGTAGAACATAACTGATCGGATGATCGCCATGGAGTCAGTCATTAAGCACTTCGACAAGACATACGCTTGGTCAGCAAAACGGAACAAACTCCCAATTATCTTTGATGTCAACACCTGGTTGGAAACGGACTTTCGCCAAGTGATAGAACACTCATAACCTCTGATCATTACGATTAAATGCCCACAGTATATAACACCAAAGACATCATGTTATTTATTCTTGGAAACTTCAACTTAAGAAATCGGCTTCGAGTGAGAGCAAAACCATCGTCATAAGTTACACACCACCTTAATAGCGCGTTGGTCTCTGAAAATATTGACACTTCCTACCTACCTCCAAAGCTTCCGCATGACCGCATCTTGAGTTTTGCTCAACACTCGAGGTCCGTTTGTTATTCAAAATACGAGGGCACTTACTCTAGTTAAACACCATCTGACTAGGTATTTTGCGGGATTAAGAAACGCCTCATAGGACGGTCGTTTAGAAGCTCCGCATCTCTCTTCTTCGAGAGGTCGTATGCGGCAGGGCGAACTCAGTGAGATCCACATAATCCTGGAAGATTTCATAAACGTACCGAGTGGAGCGTTACTCAAAGTCATCAAGCAACATATCACTAGAGTTCATTATGTACAGTTTCCTAATGATGAAGTAGCAACCCACCTGATTCTGTCGTTCTTCATTGCCAGCATATTGAATGATTGGAACAAGCACCCCGGGTTTTCTTCCGGATAGACCACAAATTGCAACACAAGGTGTACAAAGTGAAAGATCCAATTCAGATGCAGGACCGAAGAAACTACATTTACAAGATCAATTGCGAGGATTGCCTATCAGAATACATCGGACAACCATGCAGACAGCTTAGTGTGAGAATGATCGAACATCAAAGACAAAAAAACTGAGACCAATTATTGCCACGCAATTCAACAAACTCGAACGAGATTCGGCAAGCGCAATACATGCCATTGCCGAGGGACATGGTATCGACTATGAAAACACGAAAATGGTATTCGAACAAACACCGAGCGCCTATACGCCGCGGCTGTGGCAATCAATGCTAATCCTGGGTGAATAAATCAAAACAACGGGGCAAGGGTTTCGTGTATGTGAACAGCAATAACTTTACTTACCAGCAGTCATCCTAAAGCTGATTTAACCTCAGATCACCCCGATCACATAGGAAAACATTGCATAAACGGATGTGCTCAAAGCCCGATCCGGATTGATGACCTTCACACAGAAACGGACACAGACTTATATAAAGATATACACACTCAGTGCGCGAGTCTTTCGTTGGCAAACTGTTGCTGATTCCTTCGACTGTAAAATCGCTTTGATAAAGATTACCCACTGTGCCCGAAATGTCAGCCTATTTTCACCGGTAGCGACTTCGCTGTTTTCTTCAGAAGTACAACTTATATAAAGCATATCGCATGGCGGATCGATTTTTCGATACACTCCGCACATCGCTCGGATTTGACACTATGACTACACAGTTTTGTTCTCCGTGTGCATAAATAAGATTGACTCTTATTCATGAAGATAATACCCGTTTTTTTCAGCTTCAGCTTCATTGCATTCCGGCTGCACTGTGAGCTTATCTTCTGGTCATCAAAATACTTGATTCGCTAAATTGAAGCCGATGGTGTTACCTATCACGATTGAGTGCTCGGTGAAGTTGAGTCGCACACCATACAGAGCATCCAACCATGAGGTGTTAACGCAATTTGCCACGTCTGAGGCATATCATTGGTGTGTTGCGATCGGAATAGGCTGCAGAGGACAAGAAAGGTCAACAGACAGTGGAAATATTCCACATGGAATGTCAGCCAATACCAAATGGGTGTTTACGATGTTCTCGTTTTTGAATCGATAGTAAATAACACACAGACAAACAAATACACCGATATGTGGTACAACGAATTAGTAATTTGCTTTCACTTTTGAGACACGAATCGAGTCTTCCAAGGCGCAGTTCTAGGTCCCTCGTTTTTCTTTATATTCACAAAAGATGTGGCACAGATTCTTCAATATTCGTGTTTCACGTTCGTTGATATTCTAGGGCGTCCAGAGGTAGTCCATCGATGGTTGGTTCAGTGGTACGTACCTAATAATCTATTCGAATGCCGCCTTTTGGCAATCTAAGCTTGTGCATATTTAGTAAATGAAACCCCAATGCCATGGGCCTCGAAGATTAGAAATCTAGGTATCCTATGACCCCAACTTTAATCCTACAGCTCAGTGCTAAAGAACCACTGAATGCGCTCAGCGGTAGCTATTCAGGTTATATGCAGAAGGCCTGCTGTTTTCAGTCCATTGTATGAATCCATTATTCATTCAAACATGGACGGCGTATTACTGGATGAGTATAAAAAGTTTAGTCATAGTCCAGCGCCTAACTACCTGAATAACAACTGGGAAAAGAGAAAACTTATCAGCAGTCGTTAGGAGATTTTAATTTCTCCTCACTCAAATGTAAACGAGTGAGAGAAGATCTGATGAGAGGTTATCAAATTATAAAAGGTTAATTGAGACTAATACCAGATACCTTTTCAATGTGTATAGGGCTCAAAACAAGATAAGTCATCACCTCGAATTTCTACAAATCTCACACAGGGTAATGTCTATGTGAAACAGGATACTAACAGAAACGGTCACCTGTGTGAGTGTTAACGCCTTCAATTTGACCGTAGATAAATGTTGGTCAGCAATGTTCCGCGAGGTTAGTATTTATTATTTCGAATAAAGTCCACCGTTGCCTGAAACACCCGGCTTCGGTGTTGAATTCGTTCTCAAACCGATTGTACTGTCACATGTGTTCTGTGCACATGAATGCTCGTGAGCCATGAGGTCTCCAACCAATCAGGCGATGAGACATCCTTGCTCATGTTCTTCCCTTTCAGCTTGCCTCCCAAGGAGAAAACGTTGTGGAAACACAGCTAAATTTAAGTATCACAAGTACCGAACCACTATCTGATTTTAATCGCTGAACTGCGTCTACTTAAACTATTACAATGGATGAGTAAGAAAGAAACTGTCGTATTTGTGGTTCCATTTACGAAGTAGACATTTCTCCGGGATTGAAGTTACGTGAGCTGGTCTTGGTGGAAATGCACAAGTCAACGCATCGCACTTTAACACCATTCCAAGCGGCGCTATTGAGAAAACGCTCGCATGTTCTCACGGGCGATGACTGATCCGAATCCATTTGGAATACAAACTACGAGTAGTCGCAGTGGAAGCCTGGGCTTCCCCATTTCTTAGACAACATGCGCTCCCTTTGATCGCTCGTGTATAAACACTTTCTTCATATTCTTCTTTGGGACAACATCGGAAGGTCGGAATTCATAACAATCCCTTCAACTCTCTCATGAGATTGGTATTTCATTCCCGTTAACTTGATTGGCTGGCTGTCAGCCATTGGTCTGTTGTACATGTTGGTTTGTCACCTATTCGCCTTGTTCATTTGTACTTTTCTTTATTGAATACCACATGAGCTGATTTCCCGGAAGGGGTAAACGGCCAATGAACGGGCAGCCGTGCAACACGCAATGGGGAAAGACAGACGATGGTGGTGGGATTGGACCACACGTTCTCTAGGGTGATAAATTGGTGACCTTACCGCCGGGCCACCACTGCCACATATTCCGACCGTTCAGTTTGAACTGTATGTAGTCGCATTCCATGCATGGAACGCTTTGCCAGACTTTGAAGTCGGATTCCAATAAGGCACTTCCATTTGATTGCGTCTTGTCAACGTAAACATGCACTCTAGCTTCAGCTC